ACCTATTACCTTTAGCTATCACCCCCCACCTCCCTATTTAGGGGTTCCTAACAACTCCTAATCTATTTTTTGTCTTTAGTGATTTACCTATTCCGGAAATTTCATAGAAATGGAATCATTTATAATCTTTTATGACTAATTTATTTTACTTTGCATAATGTTTTCAAGGTTTATCCATGTTGTAGCATGTATCAACACTTCATTTTTTAACCTGTTATATTTTACTAGATGCCCAGTATGTGAAATTTGTGCACTGGGCTGGGGGAAGCCCTCCGCCTGGCCTGTGCCCTCTCACATTCTGGGAGCCCCACAATCAATTGCCCCCAAAGAGGTAGGCCCCACCCAACTGGCCAGGGCTCATGGGTTGGTGGCCTGGGCCTCCCTCTTTGGGGCGATCATGGAGTCCCCTGATTGATTGCCCTGCTTGCCAACAGCGTGGGCCTCCCTCTGCAGGGCTATCTGGCTATTGATGGCACCCCAGCAGAGGGAGGCCCTGCCCACCCACCGCAGCCCACTGGTCGGTGGCCTGGGCCTCCCTCTGCAGGGCTATCTGGCTATTGATGGCACCCCAGCAGAGGGAGGCCCTGCCCACCCACCGCAGCCCACTGGTCGGTGGCCTGGGCCTCGCTCTTTGGGATGATGGTGGAGGCCCCCCCCAATTGATCGATTGCCCCACCCACTGGTGGCCTGGGCCTCCCTCTGCAGGCTGATCATGGGGCAATGGCCGGGCCCCCAACCAATTGCATCACACCCTCCTTGGTTGGCCTGGCACCAGTGGGTATCATAGCGTGGTCATCCGGAAGGTTGTCCGGGTGGTCATTCTCCTGTTCGGTTGTTTGGTCAATTTGCATATTATACTTTTATTATTATAGACTAAAGGCCTGGTGTGTGAAATTCATGCACTCGGTGGAGAGGCATCCCTCAGCCTGGCTTGTGCCCTCTTGCAGTCTGGGAGCCCTCGGGGGATGTCCAACAGATGGCTTAGGCCCGCTCCCCACAGGGAACAGGCCTAAGCTGTCAGTCAGACATCCTTAGCGCTGCTGCAGAGGCAGGAGAGGCTCCTGGCCGTGAGCTTGGCTTCTGGCTGAGTGGTGCTTCCCCTGTGGGAGCGCATTGACCACCAGGGGGCAGCTCCTGCATTGAACATCTGCTCCTGGTGGTCAGTGCGTGTCATAGTGACTGGTTATTTCACCATTCGGTTGATTTGCATAATTGCCTTTTATTATATAGGATAAGAACAGTTTTTAAAAAATATATATTTTTATTGATTTCAGAGAGGAAGGGAGAGAGGGAGAGAGAAACTTCAATGATGAGAAAGAATCATTGATCAGCTGCCTCCTGCATGCCCCCCACCGGAGATCAAGCCCACAACCCAGGCATGTGCCTGGACTAGGAATTGAACCATGACCTCCTGGTTCATATAGGTCAACGCTCAACCACTGAGCCATACCAGCTGGGCCTATGATAGTTTTGAGTATTCTTAAATATATAATTCTTTAGTTTCAGTTACATTCACAATGTTGTATAATATCACTACTATTTCCAGAGCTATTTCATTACCCTAAGCCAGTGATGGCAAACCTTTTGAGCTCAGCGTGTCAGCATTTTGAAACACCCTAACTTAACTCTGGTGCCGTGTCACATATAGAAATTTTTTGATATTTGCAACCATAGTAAAACAAACATTTATATTTTTGATATTTATATTATATATTTAAATGCCATTTAACAAAGAAAAATCAATCAAAAAAATGAGTTCACGTGTCACCTCTGACACGCGTGTCATAGGTTCGCCATCACTGCCCCAAGCAGTAACTTTCCATTTATCCTCCCTCCAGCCCCTGATAACCTCTAATTTACTTTCTTTCTCTGTGAATTTGCCTATTCTAGTTACCTCTTATAAATGAAACCATATAATATTTGTTCTTTCGTGTTTGGCTTCTTTCACTTACCATAATGTCTTCAAGGTTCATCCATGTTTTAGCGTTTGCCAGAACTTTATGGCTGAATAATGTTCCGTTGCATGTATCTGCCACATTTTGCTTATCCATTCATCTCTTGATAGATTCTTGAGTTGTTTCCACTTTTCAGCTAACATCAACAATGCTGCAATGAACATTGGTATACAAGTTTATGTTCAAGTCTCTGCTTTCAGTTGTTTTGGATACATACCTAGGAATGGAATTACTGTATCTCTTATGTTTAGAATTTTGATAAACCACCATACTGTTTTCCACAGTGGCTACACCATTCTACCTTCCCACCAGTAGTGTATGAGGGTTCCAATTTCATCACATCTTCACCAATACTTATTTATCTGACTTTTTGATAATATCCCTCCGAGTGGGTATACAGTGATATCTCATTGTGGTTTTTATTTGCATTTCTCTAATGATTAGTGATGTTGAGCATCTTTTCATGTACTTCTTGGCTATTTATATATCTTTGGAGAAATGTCTATTCAGATCCTTTGCCTATTTTTAAATTGAATTACTCATCTTTTTATTATTGGGTCATAAGTGTTCTTTCTATATTTTACATAGAAGTCCCTTATCAGATACCTGATTTGTCTGGGAGGTATAACTAAGCTAGAATCACTTTAAATTCTTTGCTTGAGGTTTTCTTGGTCATATCAATAGTGTAAATCCAAACTGCAGACCTACATAGGGCCCAGCTCATGGTTATAAATTCTTGGGAGAGGCTTGTCCTGTGGTATGTAAGAGTGGATGAATGATGATTAGTATGTTTGACTCTCCCTTACTTTTGACATCATGTTGGTTTTGTTCATAAACTGAACTAATTGCAATATGAATGAATTTTTACACATACTTTGTAAAAAATGGGAAATAATAAAGCATGTTTTCCCCTTTCTTATAATAATTCAATAGACTTGAGTTCTTCCAGGCAGGAACTGAGCCTTTTATAACCCAAGTATTCGGTAACACAACATGGCACATAGATTGTGAACTTCATAAGAACCGACCTTTTTGTCTGTTTTATTCACTGCTCAATAAATATTTGTTGCATGAGTGAATTAATGAATAGGAGGAACTACTCATAAATGTTTGTCAAATCAATTGTGATATACTTGAGTAGTTTTCATGATTCTGGCTAGAGAGTTTCTTGCTTAGCTGGAGGGAGGGAAGGTGGCCTACATTTTTCTTTTTCTTCTATATTTAAAAAAATATTGTCCTAGCCCTACCCGGTTTGGCTCAGTGGATAGAGCGTTGGCCCGTGGACTGAAGGGTCACGGGTTTGATTCTGGTAAAGGGCACATACCTCGTTTGCAGGCTTGATCTCTAGCCCTGGGGTACGTGCAGGAGGTAACTGATCTATGTGTCTCTTTCACATTGGTGTTTCTCTCTCTATGTTTCTCCCCCTCCCTTCCACTTTCTCTAAGAATCAATGGAAAAAATATCCTTGGGTGAGGATTAAAAAAAAAAAGAAACTTACAAAAAAGAAAAAAATATTTATTGGAATATAATTACATATAGAAAATTGCCTGTATCATAAGTGATTAGCTCAATAAATTTTTATAAACCAAATGCATTTGTGCAAATATCATCCTAATTAAGAAATCAGGAGCCTAACTTTTAAAAGCATTACTTCAGAAAAGTCATTTTCATGTAATTTGGTGGGAGCCTGACTCTGGAGTGACTCAGTTATGGTAGTTAGGTATTTGCCAGAAAGGCAGTTGTAAAGTCCTAGGTACTTCTAAGTTTTTTCCTTTCTAGATGGGATGAAGGGAGAATGTCAGATGTCAGGTTTCCTATGCTGTTTGTGCCTAGGGCAAGTGATTGTGTGACACTTGCTTCTGTTTCATACCCAATATGATAGTGTTACTAATGTATCATATTTTAGGGGTGTGAGATAATGAGGGGTTTTTATACTGGAAGTTATATTTTGTGTCGAATATGGCATATGTGGTCATAATATGTATTCTTCCCTTAAAAAAAGGATCCTATATCTAAATTCATTCTTCTTACAGGTATATCCAGAGTCTTTCTGAATCCATTGCTAAGAGGCAATATGTAATGCCATATTTTATTTATGTTTTTAAAAATTTCTTTATTGATTAATAAACATATGTGTCCTTATCACCACATTACCCCCCACTCCCCCCACTCATGCCCTCACTGCCCTGTTGTCTGTGTCCATTGGTTAGGCCTATGTGCTTGCATATAAGTCCTTTGGCTGATCTCTCCCCCTTCCCCCCACCTGCCCCTACCTTCCCTCTGAGGTATGACAGTCTGATTGATGCTTCTCTGTGTAATGCCATACTTTAGACTTTACACTTTAGAGTCATGACTACAAAAATACAAGTTTGTTTTTAAAAAGTTTGTTTTTGTTACCTTCCTCAGTCCCATTTAATAATTTATTTTTCAATTTCCTAATGGAGTGTGGCTCCGTTCCAATAAAGTTGATTTACAAAAACAGGTGCACTGGAGTTTGCTGACCCTTCATCTAGAATAAAACCTCAAAAAGTGGACACTCAAACGGAAATGGTATAAGGGAACCAGTCATTCAGTAATTTAAGTAATAAATTTATTGAGTGTGTGCTATTTGACAAACTTTGGACTAAATGGTAAATTAAATTATGGTATTATATCCACTCACTGGAATGTTAAGATCATTGAAAATGATCATTTTGAATACCAAATAACATGAGAATTCAGGATAAAATTTTTGTATCTTAATAAATATTGGCTTTTAGAAGGAATATATGAATTTTTGTTAGGTAGAAGGAGTTTTTCTATTTTTCAGACTGCCTGCAGTGTTTTTATATACCAAAAATAATTTTTTAAATGGCATCATGAGATACAACTTAAAACTGTTGTCTTTAATCACTACTGTGTAGTATGATAAAGAGAAGCTTTATTGTTCAGTGATGTCCTTTTTACTTAATTAGTATAAGATCTACGTTTGAGGAGACTGTATTGCTGTCCTGTTCAAGATGCATTGTCATTTCTCTCTTTTTAAAAGTTTTTTTCTTTTAACAGTGCCCTTATGTCTGCCATTTCTTATATTTACTTACCAAAAAAGAGAATGGTGAGTATTTTTATTACAGTTATATTACATTCACTCTGTGGAATTAGCATTTGTATTGGCCTTTATAAAGTTAACTGTTAGCATTAGTTCTATGACATGATTTTGTGGGAATTGCTTTTTAGTACTTTTATCTAAGAGCATCTGCTTAATGGCTTAACTGAACAGGGTGTTTATATTCTTGATGTGTTGTAAGAAGAAGCTATATATATGAGCCACATGGGTCCTGTTTATTCTGAACCACATACATAATATTTCTTTTTTTTAAACCTTTACTAGTCAAACCATTTCGTGTGCGAAAACTGCTTGATCTTCAGGCAAAAATGGTGAGTACCAAAAAGACCCAAAACTAGCCAGTGTATTCTGTGATAGGTATTGGGCTAGGCTTTGGGGATATAAAATGGAATGAGTTATTACCTTCAAGGAGCTTTTTGCCTGGGCAACTCAGTCAACAAATAAAACTGGGGTCAAGGAGGAGTGGTGATACTTGAGAGAAATTTTAATGGATAAATAGTATTTAAGTAGGCCAAGAAGGAAGAGCAGGACACTCCTGACAAAAGGTACAGCATGAGCAAAGATGTAAAATAGCAGAAACTGTTTAGAGAACTGGGTTGGTATGGCTGGAAAATAAGTGTCAGGGAGTAGTAAGAAACAGCTACTTTATTAGTTTACTTTTTGTATGGATGTGATCTAGGAAAAAGCATTCTTTTCTGGATACTTAAACTTCAGTATATTCTCTGACCATTATCTTTTGTCCTTACAGCTCTCTTGCATTGTTATTTTCACTATACCTTCTAGGTAACAGAAATCTGTAAAGTTTTGGGTATAACACAATAGGAAGTTGTAGTGCCTATGCCTAACTGCTACAACCTGCATGACCTACCTGAAGGCATTCAAATTTAATGAAAAACACAAACACATGTGCACATTCATGCTTCTCTAGTGTGAGGTTTCCTATTAGTACAATTCACTGATTGTTCTTGTTTTATAGTTTCCAGTTTTGCTTCTATGGGTAAAATATCTTCTCTTAGCTCTGCGAGGATATTAATGACAATGTTTTTTGTCCAAATCACATTTCACTTCACATTAAAAGAAATTGTGAAGATGTACTTTTTCCATGTTAACAGCAAAACATTTCAACAGAATAACAAGATTCTTAGCATAAGATCTTGGTGATTTGAATTAATTGAAATAGTGTATGGTCAAGTGTATGATTTAGTACATGATTGTCTAAATTTTTTTTTAATATTTTTTTATTGATTTTTTACAGAGAGGAAGGGAGAAAGATAGAGAGTTAGAAACATCGATGAGAGAGAAACATCGATAAGCTGCCTCCTGCACATCCCCCACTGGGGATGTGCCCGCAACCCAGGTACATGCCCTTGACCGGAATCGAACCTGGGACCTTTCAGTCCACAGACCGACGCTCTATCCACTGAGCCAAACCGGTTTCGGCATAAAATTTTTAAACAAACAATTGTATGGCTTCATTATTAGCATTCTATACAGTATATTACTAAATTATTCCATTATCAATGCCCATTTATAAGGATGCATTCATAAAATTGTTTTGATTAGCTGGATTTTGGTAAATTTGTTCAAGTCCAATAATATGAAGCCTAGAAGACATAGCCATACTCACATGTAACCAAACATATATGCAGAATGGTAATAGCCATAATCAGCACATGAGAACAAATATATTGGATATGTAAATTTCTTGAATTTCTGGTACCTATAAAGGCCTGTATCCCTTCTATATCCACCCATGCCCCATAACTCCTGATCCACAGAGGAAGCAAAATGCAGAAATAGTCTTTCTGGTGGCAAGCATGAATGGTGGGATCTGGAGCAGGCCTGTTGTTATTTTAAAAGTACAAAGACCACCCAGCCAGTGTGGCTCAGTGGTTGAGTGTTGACCTATAAACCAGGAGGTCACGGTTTGATTCCCAGTCAAGGCACATGCCCAGGTTGTGGGCTTAATCCCCAGCGTGGGGTGTGCAGGAGGAGCCAATCAATGATGATGTTTCTCTCTCTCTCCCTCTCTTTTCTTCTCTGAAATCAACAAAAAAAATATTTTAAAAAAAAGCACCAGTGCCTGTTGAGAATGATCTTTGGAACAGGAAGGGGGAGTTAAGTCTCATCTTAAGGATTGGTGAGAATGGTTTCTGGGATTCTCCCTCTATCAGGCATGAGCTTGTGTGACTTAGGCTGTGATTTTTTAAAAAAATATTCTCAGATTTGTTTCCTTAGAGTTTCTTTCTTTAGTTTAGTTTTTTTTCATGGTAGAGGCTTTTCTCTAATGCCTGGTAAACGATATTTATTCATTGGTAATAATAAAGCACTAAAATGGTGATTGGAAACTTGTGTGTGTGAGCAGGATTTGTTCATTGTCAGATCTTGATGTTTCTCTTATTGGGGAGCCCCCTATATGACTGTGTCATTTTTCCCAGAGAGGAATTCTATCTTTCCTGCCTATGGGGTGTATTAGGCCTCTCCAGAGAAACAAAACCAATACTATATGCATACGGGTTGGGGCTAAAGTAGGTTTACAGTTGTGAGTATGACATACACAGTTTATTCTTGCATTATTTATTAATTACTGCATTGTTTTCCATACAAACAACTGTAGGTTTACAGTTAAATATTCTCAGATTTGTTTCCTTAGAGTTTCTTTCTTTAGTTTAGTTTTTTTCATGGTAGAGTTTACAGTTGTTTGTATGGAAAACAATGCAGTAAT